CCTCTCCTCTCCTCTCCTCTCCTCCCCTCTCCTCTCCTCTCCTCTCATCTCCTCTCCTCTCATCTCCTCTCCTCCTGCTCCCTCTCCGGCTCCTCCTCTTTCCCCATCCCTCTCTCCCTTCTCTTCCCGATCCTCAGGCGGCCACCACCCGGGGCGTGGTGGGCTACACGGCCGCCTCCGTCTACGGACCGCAGGCCGCGCTGGGTGCTTCGCTGGCGACGCTGCAGCGCGTGCGCGTGGTTGCGGTCGAAGCCGATGATGAGGAAGGGCAGCCTCCACCAAAAAGTACCCATCGGTCATTGAAAGTATGTATTTCTGGAGTCCCATATTCCAATCTTCTTGAAGCGCCGTCCTACTTTAAGGATCGAGTGGCTTCACCTCTTCCGTCCTCCGAAGCGGGCGGGCGGACACCAATTTACTTCCAACGCCCTCCTGCTTCATGTTTCGACCTACTTCTTCCGACCGATGGGTACCCTTGCATGCGTGGCTCTCTGGTCCAAACTTGGACTGCTGTCGATGGCCCGCCGCGCTCGAAACAACTGCAGCACGGGCGGCCAGGGGGCTTGCATCCTTATCGCGCGTCCTTGCTATTACTTTCGGCTGTACGTATGATGCTGCGCGGGCATCTGCGCGCGTGCGTGCGTCTGAGTGCTTTCATCACTTGTGGCCTGTTTCGAACAGCAGAAACGGCATAAACATTATCGGAGCTCCGTGCGTAGTTCTTGGATCGGCGCTGGGCCCCACTGGCGGCGCCTCCGGCGCCGCCCCTGGCGCGCTCCGCGCTCTAGGGAGGAGGTTCAGCGCCGATCCAGGAAATCCGCGCGGAGCTCCGAAAGTTGATGTTTATGCCGTTGTTTCTTCGTCTGTTTCTCCACTCGCGCTCACGCGGCCCCAGTCCGGCGCGCGGGGCCGCCACAGTGAAGCTAATTTGCTCTGAGGATGACCCCCCGCCGTGCATCCGATGTTACTTCTCAGCGCGCCAAGCAAGCCTCTACAATCAAAGCGGGGCGGCGGATCGAAGACGCCTGCGCCGAACCACCGCCGCCCCCTGCCTGTTGGAAAAGCCCATGCGGCCAAACGTTGGGCCGAAGTCGGGCCAAGCTATTTAATAGTGTGTTCCCGCAGCCGTTGTGGAACCCATTGGGGGAACACTTGGGAGAGGAAGAGAAAGGAGGAGGAGGAGGAGAGGGAGGAGACGGAGGACGAGGAGGAGGAGGAGGAGGAGGAGGAGGGAAGAGGAGATGAGGAAGAAGAGGAGGCCTCTTGAGGCTTTCCTAGGGCCCCCTGGCGGATTCCTGTGAGTTTTTCGGGGGGCCTCCTCCTCCTCCTCTCCTCCTCCTCTCCTCCTCCTCCTCTCTCCTCCCTCCTCATCCTCTCCCCCTCCCCCCTCCCCCTCCTCCTCCCCTCCTCTCCCTCCTCCTCCTGTTCCTCCTCCTCCTCCTGTTCCTCCTCCTCCTCCTCCTCGTTTGAGGGCCGGTTTGGAGATCCATTCGGCCGTCTTGAGGCCGTGTTGGGGACCTCTTGGGCCTTTGGGGGCTCTTTTGGGCCGTCTTGCGTGCCTAGCGCGCCTCTTGGCCGTCCTGGGGCCGTCCTACAGCGTCGGAGGACTGAAAGGCGAGAACGCTAAGAAATGAACAGCCATAGGAATATCAAGCATTCTGGCCTCCTGGAGGTCCTCTTGGAGGCTTCTTTGGGGCTTTCGTGGCTTCTAGGGCCGTCTTGGGCCACCTCGGGCCGTCTTGGGTGCATCATGGGCAGTCTTGGAAGCAGCTTTGGGCCATCTTGAGCTCTCTTGGGCCCATCGTAGCCGTTTTGTAAGCATATTGGAGGCCATCTTGGCCGTCTTGGGGTGGGGGGGTCCGAACTTCAGTTCGATTCCCCCTGTGTTGGGCCCCTGCTGGCCTGGGACCCTCTCAGGACCTCTTGGGGCCTTCTTGTTCGTCTTGGACGCCCTTGAGATCAACAGGGCAGGCACGCGAAGCCCATGCGTGTTCTCCAGCGCGGTCCCTAAACCGTAATACAGTTATTGCACTGTTGATGTGCAAGCTGTGTGGTGCAAGCTGTGTGGTGCAATCTGTGTGGTAGCTGTGTGGTAACATTCAGTTGCGGAACTTGCAGTTGACAACTCTACTGCTCGCGCGATCATCCCACCCACCCACCTGCAACTTGTTGTGCAAAACGTATGCGGCGGCGATTGCGGTGAGTACTCGGTGTTGGCTGGCGCATCTCTGCGGCCCCGCCTGCCCGCGCATGCTCGCGCGCGCAGCGGCCAGCCAGTGTGGCGCGACCGACGCGGCCGCGGTGGCGTTGACCTCTGGGCATTTTCCAGCGGGCACCTCGGTGCGAATCGGCCACTTGGTCGGGCGCGGTATCATGGCAACGTCGACAACGGTAGACTTGACGATGATAGTAGCGACGCTGGTGAGGATGATCACAACGGCGACGGCACGGCCAGTGATGGCGCCGATGCTGATCACGCCGGCGACGATGACGGCGCCCTCGCGTCGGTGATGAAGGTTTTAAAAAGAGTCCGGCATTCGCGCGCGGCCGACGCGCGAGAGTGGCCCGCATGGTATTCTGACACGGATCGGTTCGCCCCAGCACGCGCGCATAGGTGTTCCAATGATTTCGGTATGCGGCGCGAGGTGCCCGCTTGCCAGACTTCCATGAACATGTTGAACAACCCATGCTTGTCTTAAGGATTCGCAAGAGCGCGAGCGCAGGCTTTTGAAAACTATTGTTGCGAACCCATCTAGTTTATATGTTGTTTTGGGGCGCTCGGTTTTAACACCTTTACGACAGTTCAGGTTTTTGACAGATTTCGGCACGCGTGCGCGCGACGACGCGCGCGCGTGCACTTGTTTTTTGTTTGTTTGCGGGGGTTCTCGTGACAGCACGCGCACAAGGGCGTTCGAACGATCTCGGCTTCGCGCGCGCGCGAAGCCCGAAGCCCGTTTGCATAATTTTATGTATTTTTGGAATTTTGTAGGGTAGATAACATTAGGTTATGTTCAGCTTTTGCGAGAGTGTGCGCGCGAACTTTTCTTGAAACTCCTTGTTGCGAAACCATGTGTTCTGTTTGTTGTTTTGGGCACTCGATCTTGCAATCCTTTCGAAACCACAGGTTTTTGAAGAATTCCGGCATGCGCGCATGCGACGACGCGCGCGTTTGTACATTTCGTCTCATTTGTTGCCAGGGATTATTGAACACATTCTGGTTTGTGGTGAACGAGTGTGCGCGCATAGTGCTGTTGCAGAGGATGGCTGGGAGGGGTCGATACTGGCTGGGCTGGGATGGTTTGACTTCATATTTCGGATGGGCGGTGGGGCAGATTCACATGCAAATTGTACTACGAAAAGAAGAACGGATAACCCGGGGGGGGGGTAGAATCAAGTTTCTTGCCAATAAGGAGAAATCATTGCTCAACTCGGACTTGTCAAACCTTCGTTTCGCGCAATCATCCCACCCACCCACCCGCAATTTGGTTTGCAAGACTTGCGATGGGTGCTGGGGTTGGCTGGTGCATCTCTGAAGCCGCGCCAGCCCGCGCATGCACGCGCGCGCAGCGGCCAGCTAGCTTGGCGCGACCGACGCGGCCGCGGTGGCGTTGACCGCTGGGCACATATCAGCGGACACTTCAGTGAGAGTCGGCCACTTCGGCGGGCGGGGTATCATAGCAACCTCGACACCGGTAGAAACGATGATGAAGGTAGCGATGCTGGTGACGACGTTGGCAACGACGACGGCACGGCCACTGACGGCGCCGATGCTGATCACGCCGGCGACGATGACGGCGTCCTCGCGTCGGTCGTGAAGGTTTTGGAAGGAGTTCGACATGCGCGCGCTGCCGACGAGCGAGGGTGGCTACTGTTCCGCCCCAGCACGCGCGCAATGGCGTTCAAATGATTTCGGTATGCAGCGCGGGGGGCCCGTTTGGCAAAATTCCATAAACATATTGGACAACACATGTTCGTCTTAAATATTCGCGTGGGCGCGGTCGCAAGTTGTTTTGAATACTGTTGTTGTCACGCCATAGCATATATGGTTGTTTGACACTCGATTCGAAAATCCCTACGAGCGCGCGTAAGGGCGTTCGGCCGATTTCGACATGCGCGCGCAGAGCCCGTTCGGTACCATTACATGCAAATCTTGATACACCCAGGCTTCCCATTAGAACCCGCAAGAACGCGACCGAAGGCTTTCTGCTTAAACATAAAATGTATGTGTGTTTCCAATCCGCGTTGTGAGCCCACCGGTTTTCGAATTATGTTGGAATGCGCGCGCGCGACGACGCACGTGTGCATTTCGTCATGTTAGTTGAAAGTTGTTGTCCAGATAATTGATGGTCATGATAAAGGAGCGTTCGTGCGCATAGTATTTTTTTGCCACGAATGCGAGAGGGGGTCGATGCCGGCCTTGCTGGGATGGCACGGGCTCATATTTAGGATGGGCGATGGGTATAATCGTATGTAATTTGCAATACGGGACGTGGGGCGGATAACCCTCGATGGGTGGTGGGGGTAGAAACGAAACTTTTTAATTATGGGTAATGTATGTGGCGAAACTTCGGCGGACTCCCCAGGTCGGCGGCGACGGGGTGGCCACGATGCGGCCTCGGGCGGCGACGTGGCGAAACCTCGGCGGTCCCAATCGGTACGTGGGCGGCCACCAGGCGGCCACGAGGCGGCCACTGGAAGCGACGCGGCGAAACTTCGGCGGACCCATCCAAAAAGTGGGCGGCAACGAGGGGGGGCCACGAGGCGGCCACGGGCAGCGACGCTGCGAAACTTCGGCGGACCCAACCAAGCGGCTGGCATCGATGTGGGCACGATGCGGCCAAGGGCGGCGACGCGGCGAAACTTCGGCGGTCCCAATCGATACGTGGGCGGCCGCGAGGCGGCCGCGGGCACCGACGCTGCGAAACCTCGGCGGACCCATCCAAAAAGTGGGCGGCAACGGAGCGGCCACGATGCGGCCACGGGAAGCGACGCTGCGACACCGCGGCGGGCCCAGCCGATGTGTGGGCGGCAACGAGGCGGCCACGAGGCGGCGACGCGGCGAAACCTCGGCGGACCCAACCAACAACTTGGCGGCCACGAGGCGGCCACGGGCGGCGACGCGGTGAAACCTCGGATGACCTCTGCAGTTGGCGACCGCGAGGCGGCCACGAGGCGGCGACGCGGCAACCGCGGACCCAACCAATACGTGGGCAGCAACGAGGGGGCCACGAGGCGGCCACGGGCGGCGACTCAGCGAAGCCCCTGCGGAACCAACCGAACGGGCAGCAACGAGGCGGCCACGAAGCGGCCGCGAAGCGGCCACGCGGCGAATCTTCGGAGGACCCAAACGATGAGTTGGCGGCAACGAGGAAACCACAATTCGGCCACGGGCCGGGGCGCGGCGAATCTTCGGCGGACCAAACCAAAAAGTGGGTTGCCACGGGCGGCTACGCAGCGGAACCTCGGCGGACCCAATCAATACGTGGACGGCCACGACGCGGCCACGATGCGGCCACGGGCTCAACCAACATTCGGGCGGCCGCGAGGCGGCGACGCGGCGAAAGTTCGGGGGACCCAGCCGATGAGCGGACGGCCACGGGGCAGACACGAGGTGGCCACGAGGCGGCGACGCGGCGAAATCTCGGCGGACCAACCAAACACTGGGCGGCAGCGAGGGGGGGCCACGAGGCGGCCACGAGAGGCGACGCGGCGAAACCTCGGCGGACCCAACCAAGCGGCCGGCATCGACGGGGACACGAGGCGGCCACGGGCGCTGACGTGGCGAAACCTCGGCGAACTCGGCCAATGCCGAAGTGACAGCAAGAATCCCTTCGTGCACACTTTGTTCGGGCAGTAACTATAAGCCATCACATTCGGGGCTCGGGCTGTTGCAGTGAACGCGGAAGCCCAGTCATCGCATCTTGCTGGCCCCCAGTGGGGCCGGGGGATCAAACAAATCTTTGCTGAAGTAACGCTGCGCCGTGTTAGCTATGTAATGCAAGATATGTGATGCGAGCTACCACGCGGCAGCGGGCCCGATCGTAGCGATTCCTCGACGCACCCACCCGATCGGCAACGGGCGGCGAAGGGCGGGAGCATGGCAAATTGACGCGCCCACCGAAGCGGCAACGGGCGGCAACGTGCGGCAACGTGCCGGAATGTGGCGAATCTTCGACACACCCACACGAGCGGCAACGGGCGGGCACGGGCGGGGCCGTGCCGAATCTGTGGCGCACTCACACGAGCGGCAACTGGCGGTGACGGGCGGCAACGGGCGGCGACGGGCGCGAACGTGGCGAATCCTCGAACACCCACCCAATTCCTTTGAATGACGAGTTAGGATCCCTCAGTGCAGCGATTGTTTAGGCAGCCAGCGTATCACTTTTTCAACTCTATTCAGCCTCCTGGACCTCCCACGGTGCCCAACACAGCCCAAGTGCCCCCCAAGCGAGCCCCTGGGCGGCCCCTTGTGGTAGACTCAAAACATGTGGGAAGTACAGACCCCCAACCACGCTCCCGATGCCTCTAGGAATTACGCACTGCGTGGAGCTCACCATAGGTGCATCTCATGTTTATGGCATGCCATAGCGAGCGTCTGTTCATGAGCGTTTGATTCTAATGGCGAACGGACCCGTGTCCTACCCCCTGGCGGCTCCCTTAGGGGTGCTGAAACCAGCGCCGCGCCTGAGACATCCTCAACATCTGATCTGAAAGCCAAGGGTGTTGGGCATGACAACGAGCAAACCGCGTGAGACATTCCCACAAACTGGCAGCGAACGGGCCCGTGTCCTACCCACTGGCGGCTCCCTTTAGGGGTGCTGAAGCCAGCGCCCCGCTTGAGACATCGTCAAAATCTTCTCGGAAAGCCAAGGATGTTGGGCATGAAAACGAGCAAACCGCGTGAGACATCCCCACAAACTGGCCGCGAACGGGCCCTTGAAAACACCCCTGGCGGCTCCCCTTAGGGGTGCTGGAACCAGCGCCCCGCCTGAGACATCCTCACAATCTGCTCTGAAAGCCAAGGATGTTGGGCATGGAAACGAGCACACCGCGTGAGACATCCCCCCGACATCCCCACAAACTGGCCGCGAACGGGCCCGTGAAAACACCCTTGGCGGCTCCCCTTAGGGGTGTTGAAACCAGCGCCCCGCCTGAGACATCGTCAAACTTTGGTTTGAAAGCCAAGGATGTTGGGCATGAAAACGAGCAAACCGCGTGAGACATCTCCACAAACTGGCTGCGAACGGGCCCGTGAAAACACCCCTGGCGGCTCCCCTTAGGGGTGTTGAAACCAGCGCCCCGCTTGAGACATCGTCAAAATTTGGTTTGAAAGCCAAGGATGTTGGTCATGAAAACGAGCAAACCGCGTGAGACATCCCCACAAACTGGCAGCGAACGGGCCCGTGAAAACACCCCTGACGGCTCCCCTTAGGGGTGCTGGAACCAGCGCTCCGCCTGAGACATCGTCAAAATCTGGTTTGAAAGCCAAGGATGTTGGGCATGAAAACGAGCAAACCGCTTGAGACATTCCCACAAACTGGCAGCGAACGGGCCCGTGAAAACACCCCTGGCGGCTCCCCTTAGGGGTGTTGAAACCAGCGCCCCGCCTGAGACATCCTCAACATCTGATCTAAAAACCAAGGATGTTGGGCATGACGAGCAAACCGCGTGAGACATCCCCACAAACTGGCAGCGAACGGGCCCGTGAAAACACCCCTGGCGGCTCCCCTTAGGGGTGCTGGAACCAGCGCCCCGCCTGAGACATCCTCACAATCTGCTCTGAAAGCCAAGGATGTTGGGCATGAAAACGAGCAAACCGCGTGAGACATCCCCACAAGCTGGCCGCGAACGGGCCCGTGAAAACACCCCTGGCGGCTCCCCTTGCGAGTCTGAGTATGACTAGGTCTGAGTGTGAGTAGGTCTCAATCCGTGTGTAGGTCTGAGTATGATTAAGTCGGTGTAAGTCAGACCATGAGAAGGTATGAGTATGAGTAGGTCTGAGTATGAGTAAGTCTGTGTATGAGTAGGTGTGTTCTCTCTGGTTCTCTGGAGTCGGCGGCGTCCGAGTAATTGGAAAAACACTCGGCCAACCTGGACGCGCGAAGCGCCGGATAGTTCCGTGAATGCAGAGATTGGGGCCGTCTGAATGCAGACACTTCCGTGAATGCAGAGCCTCTGTCGAGCGGGCGATACGAGGACATTCTGCTGAGTGCCTACCGCACGATGGCGGATCTGCGCGCGTGTGCTCGCACATCTGCACGGGGTGCGCGCACACGCAAAGTGAGGCACGGTGCTCTTCGACCTTCTGCGAGAGGGCTATAGCTCTCTGCCTGGGCCAGGAAGGTGCTGCTTTTCTTGCGGTCCGGCGGGTGCCGCTCTGCGCCTCCGGCCCCAAGCGGCGCGGTCCTGCGCGGGAGGGCCAGCCATCCCTTGGATGCCTCCGGAGGCCCAGGAGCGGCGCTCACATCGAGCCTCCATGGGAGGGCTGGCGCACGCTCTCCCTGCCTGGAGGCGAGGTGCTGGGAGGATAGGCCTACCCCCCCAGCCTGAAAGCGGGGCTTCCCCAGCAATGCCTGCTCTGGACCCGCCTCCCAGCCTGGAAGCGGCGCCAACTCGAGGGCCACCGCAGCCTCCTCGCCTGGAGGCAGTCCGTGCTGCGATCCACGGGAGGACCGGCCCTCGCTTCCGTCTTGTCGGTGCCGGCATCGCTCCTCAATGAGAGGGCTGGCCCGAGAAGCTTCCAGGAGCTCCCTAAAGACCCAATGGGCTACGGGTGACACCGATACGCACCACGTAGGAGGATTATGGAGGGTCCCAGATGGGCCAGGCCTGCTCGAGACATGTAAGTTTCGTCTTGCATTATTCTCTTGTGGCCCCCCTCCTCTTTCAGACGGGTTGCGATTTCGATGGTCGTCCAAATGGCGTTAGCCGTTAATTGTTCACTCCCAGTTTTTTTGTCTGAGGCCAACGCCACGCCGCAACGCGCAGAGTTATTAAGGTAAGAGCGGAACGCTTGGGGAGCCATCCCCGCCGCACAGAGCTGTTCAGTTGTATATGTTCGGGTGTACCTTTGGGAGCCTCGCTGGCCTCACAGCGTGGTAGCGGCGTGCGCCTCTGGGAGATGCGGCCGCTTGCGTGGAAGGAGGCGTTGTCCCCCTTCTCCTGCCTGCTCCATCCCTCCCCTCGGCTGCCATTCCTCCTCCTCCTCCTCCTCCTCCTCCTCCTCCGTTGCGTCCGTTGTGTGCTTCTACACATGACTGGCAGAGCCATCGGGGATGCCCACACAGTGCGTTTGTCCTTTCTCCCTTCGCTTCCCTCTCCTCTTCCTTCTCCTCCATGGCTAGTTCTTTCTGTGGTAGGCCCACCCCCCCTCAAGTGGAGAAGCTGGCAGTTGTCATCACCATTGCATTTGGTCCATGAAGAAAGGGTACCGCTGTTTGAGCATCTTCTCCGCCATATTGCCAGCCCAGGGAGAATTATTACATTCGGTTCATAGGCATGAGTGATATGTAGCATTTGCCTTCTAGCCCGCATGCTCTGTCTGAGGCGTCCGAAGTCAAGTTTGCAGCAGAGAAGAGCTCAGCGATCACGCCGCAGCAGGACTGTGTCCCCCTTCCTCTGCGGACGTTGGGCGGCACTCCCGTGATTGAGTCCGGCCAGGGGGAGGAGGAGGATGAGGAGGAGGAGGAGGAGGAGGATGATGACGAGGAGGAGGAGGAGGAGGAGGAGGAGCAGGCGGAGGAGGATGACTAGCTGCTTCTGTCATGCGTCCATCGGTGGTGGGGCATCGGCTTAGCCTGTCCCAAAGCCTCATCACTCCAGGCCTGGTCAATCAGACGCTACGGATACCCCTATCATGGGGGCTCCCTGCTTGGGGTTCCGCTTCACATGGTCATCTGCTTGCATGCTCTTTGAAGAGTGTAGTTCCTTCTGACCCCCTGGGAGGGTTGCCATGTATCCTCGACTCTACGATTTGTTTTGACGACGGTATCTGGTATCGGTCGCTCACACTGGAAAAGTAGCAACCTTGCATTCATTTATAGAGCAGTGCTTTGTCACCACAGTGTGCTAATGTTTTTGCGAAGGCCTTACGGCTGGTGCCACCTACCCTGTTCGTTATGAAGCGGTGGAGGAAGAGGAGAGGGAGGAGGAGGAGGAGGAGGAGGAAGAGGAGAAGGAGGAGGAGAAGGAGGAGAAGGAAGAGGAGGAGGAACAGGAGGAGTATGAATAGGATGGGGCAGGAAAGGGAGAGAGAGAGAGAGAGAGAGAGAGAGAGATAGCGCAAGAGTGGGATACGGAAAGGGCGAGGGGGGGAGTATTGTGTGAAGAGAGATGCATTCCCTCGCTTGACAGCGTCGTCGCGGTATTCAGTTAGGTGTCGAATGATCTCAGCGGGAGAGGAAGGGATGGACAGCCCAGCATTGCCACGATGTCAGTGCGCTCGAGGCGTCCAGGAGGCAATAGATCGAATGAGAACGCTTCTCCCGTTTGTTTGTTTGTTTGTTTGTTTGTTGTCGTCGTCCACCTCCTCCTGCGGGGGCGCGGCCCCAATTGTGGACAGGGGGGACAGGGGGTCTTCCGCCACTCCTCTCGGGGCCTCCTCCCTTTTCTTCTCGTGGACAGGGGGGCAGGAGGTTCTCCCCTCCCCCCTCCCCCGTTCCCCCAGGGCCAGTATTCACTGTGGACAGGCGACAGGGGGGAATCCACCCTGCATGTCCCCCGTGTGGACAAGGGGGACACGCGGTCTTTCCCCCGAGCGGGTTTTCCCGTGGACGGGGGGGTAGGATGGAATCTCCTTGGCCCCCCCTTGTGGAATAGCAGGCCAGAAATCGAAGGGAAATTCTCTTCCAGGGAGAGGTGCCCTTCTTCGAGGGCGTCACAGTCCCCAGGCCCCCCCTCTCCCAGGACCACCCCGCGGGACCATCCTGCGGGCCCGAAACGGGTGGGAAGGAGAACGGTGTTCTGACTTGTGGACCTCCCCAGGACCCTCTCCCCTGCGACCCCTCCACGGATCCCCCCTACTCCAGCGGGGGAGGGCTCAGAGGGACAGGGCCCCCTTTCGATTTGATTATGACGTGGCTCGATTGCACTGCTGCTGGGGAACTTGAGAAGCAGAACCCAGGCCCCGGAGGTAAGCGGCGACCGGGACGACGAGACCGACGACGACGACGAAGATTCAGACGGATCAGCTTCTCACAAACGCAGACAGGGTCGCAAGATTTCTGCCGTGCTCATTAGAGAAGCACCTTGGTTTCGTAGAGTGCCTCGGCCACCTGTTCCGCACCAGTGGAGTGATTTGCTAGCACCTTGGCGCCATTTTCCGGTGACTCCATGGACAGCTGGGGCAGTGTTCTGTTTCCCTGTATTAGCTGGCTCGGAGTTGGGTTGTGCACACGGTGGCGATCAGAGGGAACAGGGTCTCTCGATTCCTATGCCTAAAACACGTGCATCCGCTGTTTCCAAGACGCGCGTAGCAGTTTAGCAGCTTCGCTGACTCATCATGACCATGGTCATAGTGACCCTCATCATAGTGGATTGTTGGCATCATCGGGGAAGCCACCACGCAGCCATAGACTGTAAGATCGCTTCGCTGAGAAATGATATATGTCGTCATCTGGGAGGTCTGGTGTCGTCAGGGAAGAGCTGTATCATCGGCGACATCGCCATCGTCATTGCCGTCGGCAGTGTCAAGTGTAGTGGGCACTCAGGACTCCCAGTACCAGGCGTATCTGACAATGACTTAGTTGATCGCGGCGGCACAGTATCCGACTAAGCATCGCGCATATCGTTCTAAGGCTAACCTATTGTCCTGAGGATAGGAAGAGGGGGTCAGCAGTGCGGAGCAAGCTGCGGGGCAGGACATCCAGCAGCAGCTGGACCGCCAGGCGCCCGTGCTTTCTTCAGTTCTGGATTACGCTGTGGCTTTTTCAGTGTCGCGTTTCCAACTTGTTCCATTCGCGTGTCTTGTGGCGAGATGTGTCAATGCCCGAGTACCCCCCCTGGTATTCACTGTCTGAGGCCCTCCAGCGCCGCTCGCGGTGATCTCATTGACGAGCGGTATAGTTGTCAGTAATTGGTCTTCCCCTTTGCTTCCTTCTTCTCCCCCGACTGAACGCGCTGAAGAAGGCCCTCAAGTGGAATTGTGATATGTGCCTGCAGTTGCGCCGGACATGTGACCCCCTGAACTGCTTCATTGTTGCCCGAGAGCCCTTCACGCTATTCTTGACACTTCGCGTATCCCCACCAGCCTATCCAGCAACGATCCTTAGGTGACTTGCCTGCAGGGAAGTGCAGCGGCATGCAGTATAACAAAGAGTGAGAGCAGCTGCAAACCGAAGCTCGGGATCAGCATGATCCGACACAGGAGTCAAGCATACATTAATTCTCGCATCTGTCAATGTGAGAGCCTCTTGGCAGCCTACCTGGGCCCCCATTGGGAGCATTTTGGATGCCTCGTTTGGGTCCTTGGATACCTCCGGACGTGCCGGCGCCGCCGTAGTTTTGGCGGCGTGCCTGACTGTATGTTTTTTTTAGCAGCCAAGGCTGGGGCATCTTGCTGCTATGCATCTGGTGTGGGGGCTTGGGGCACCTCTTGTGGTCATCTTGGAAGCCATTGATCAAGCAAGGGGGTTCTTATTAGCATTGTCCCTCTGGAGCCCGAGAGCTCGCCTCTTGGTGCCCTCTTCGGGCGATCTTAGAGCGCTCTTGGGCGCTATTGGAGTCGTCTTGGGCCCCTCGTGGGCCCCTCTTGAGGCTCTCTTGGGTCATATTGGAGCGTGAGGTTGTGGTCGAGCCCAGTGCCAGCTGCAGGCTGTGGGCAACCTCCCATGCCGCCTTCTCCGGCATGGGCCAGGGGCGCGCGTGGTAGGGTAAACAGTGTCACGAGCTCAACAAAGAGTGCGGAGCCCGCCGGGGCTCCCGTGCCACGCCGCCCCCATCGTGTCTCCGCCCCGCAGGTGGGGGCAGGGAGGGCTGGGTCAAGGAAATAAGCATCTTCCAGAGAGCTGTACCGTTCAATTGGCTAAGCAGAAGACGAAGGAGAAGAAGAGCGACCGGGACGTGCAGACAGAAACCGCTGAAAATGCTTTGCTCGCAACCTGTCCGGCATTCCAAGCCCCACCTCCAAGGCGAGCGGCGCCGGCACGATAGAACACACTAACATCGAGGGCGCGTAATGAGGGCTCCAGGCCACGTATCTTCCAAAAAAAACGCCCAAGAGCACTACCCAGGGGAATCCGTTACCGCCCCCCTGTACCGCGAGCCCCCTGAGCCAAGGTGGTCAATGGAGAACCCCACTGGCCAGTGAGATCGTTTGACCGCTGTCAGTCGTACCTGTTCCTGTAATGCGTGCTGATAGTGTTCCTGGTGGGACCGCATAGGGGCAGATCTCACCCCAGCGTCGTGTGGGAGCCGTCTTGAGGCCTTGGAAGCTTATCGGATGCAAAACGGCGAGAATGCAACCATCAGCTGTTTCCTTGGGGTCTTGGAATGAGTTTGGCTTTTGGGGGGCAGCCTTGGGAGGCTCCGTGGGCACTCGGAACCGTAGTGGGGCGGTCTTGGAGCCTCTTGGAAGCATTTTGAAGGACGTATTGCGCCATCTTGGCGGCCATCTTGAGCTACCTGGAGCCACCTTAGAGCCATGATGGCCCAACAGCTTCCGAAGGATGCCCCCAGTATGCCAAAACCTTTGGAACGTCAATGGTTGCCCAATGAGTGTGGCCTTGAGCAAAACGGGGTCCCCTACCAGCGTCGCACCTCTGGAGCCCGAAACGTCGCCTGCTGGGGCCCTCTTTGGGCGCTCGCGGGGCCGCTCTGGAGCCCTCTCCTCCTCCTCCTCCTCCTCCTCCTTCTCCTCCTCCTCCTCCTCTTCCTCCTCTTCCTCCTCTTCCTCCCCCTCCTCCTCCTCCTCCTCCTCCTCCTCCCCTCCTCCTCCCTCCTCCTCCTCCTCCTCCTCCTTCCTCCTCCCTTCCTCCTCTCCTCCTTCCTCCTCCTCCTCTCCTCCTCCTCTCTCCTCCCCTCCTCCTCCTCCTCCTCCTCCTCCCTCCTCCTCCTCCTCCTCCTCCTCCTCCTCCTCGCTTCTTGGGGCTCTCCCGAGCCACCTTGGGAAGCACCTCGCGGCCTTGGGCCCGCCTCGGGCACGACGAGGCGAGGATGCCCACACCGGCGGTTTCCCGCAGGTGTTGGGGGTGACGTCGGCCGCTGGGGGGGGGCATCCCTTGGGAGGCTCCGTGGCCACTTGGGGGTCGTCTTGGGTTGGTCTCGGGGCATGTTTTAATACAGCACGTGCAAGACAAAAACACACCTGGCGTCACCCTGCAGTGCCTCGAGCCATCCTGGAGGCAACCCTTTGCTTTCTGGGGCCATCCGTGGCCAGAGGAGGAGGAGGAGGAGGAGGAGGAGGAGGAGGAGGGGACAGGGGTTGGACGCGGAAGCTATGAGGTAGAAGAGGATGGTTGCCTGAGCCGTCGGCCACGGCGCTCCCTTCTCCACTGCATTCAGCACGCTTGTCACGCGTGCTGCTCTCTGAAGCCCTCCGTGCCGCCGCAGGCGAGGATGCCAGTCAGCTTCCCCCAATCCTGTGCTGGCGCGGAAGCGCCCGCACGCGCCCAGGACTTCTTCGGGGGTGATCCTCCGGACGGCGTGCTCATTGAGCTCGATGCTGGGCGGGCCATAGCTGCATTGCTCGTCGGGGTCGTTGGGATCGGCCCACACCTCCTCCCAAGTCCCCAGCGCGGCGTCGGCAGCAGCCTGCGGGTGGAGGAGCTCGAGCTGTGTGTGCTGCTTCGTCGGCGTCAGCGATTCCCATTGCACTGGCGGCTTGGTCCACTTGTGCAGCACCCCTGCTCCTGCTCGATTGTGCTTGGCGACCCAGCGGCGCCAGCCTTTTGCCGACGCTTGCCGAACTCGTCGCCGCGTGTGGTTGCTGGCCACTGCCATGAACTTAGAGACGCACTCGATGTACTGCGCGCCTCTGTCCATGAGGGTGATGGTATCGATCCAAGCGACGGTGTTCACAAGCTTGCCCCATTCGATAGTGTGCCACGTGTGCCTCTGCTCCGTCGGGAGGCGGCGCTCTCCTACCGCTGCCGCCCCTGTCCACGGGCAGTCCTGCGAGGCCGCTAGGCCGAGGACAGCAGAGGCCCGATGAGTAGTCCCTGGGTGGCTCCAATTGTCCACCGCAACTCTGTACGTTGTTCCCCACATGTATCGTGGGGTTCTGGTTTTCTTCCCTGCCGCGCCGCACCCGCGTCTCACACCTCCCCCCTCCCCTTCTCCTTCTCGCACAGCACAGCACAGCACAGCACGGCACGGCACGGCACGGCACAGCACAGCTCACCGCACAGCAGCACAGCACAGCACAGCACAGCACAGCATACCACACAGGGCATTCCTTCGACGCCACAGGGGGTGGGGGTGCGCAGAGGGTGGTCCCTCAGCGCGGCCTCTATCCGTGACACGCTCGCAGATCGTGGCAGGCGTGGCACTTTCTCGACACCACAGGGGGTGCGCAGAGGGTGGTCCCTCAGCGCTGCCTCTATCCGTGACACGCTCGCAGATCGTGGCAGGAGTGGCATTTTCTCGAAGCCGCAGGGGGTGCGCAGAGGGTGGTCCCTCAGCGCGGCCTCTATCCGTGACACGCTCGCAGATCGTGGCAGGAGTGGCACTTTCTCGACACCACAGGGGGTGCGCAGAGGGTGGTCCCTCAGCGCGGCCTCTATCCGTGACACGCTCGCAGATCGTGGCAGGAGTGGCACTTTCTCGACACCACAGGGGGTGCGCAGAGGGTGGTCCCTCAGCGCGGCCTCTATCCGTGACACGCTCGCAGATCGTGGCAGGAGTGGCACTTTCTCGACACCACAGGGGGTGCGCAGAGGGTGGTCCCTCAGCGCGGCCTCTATCCGTGACACGCTCGCAGATCGTGGCAGGAGTGGCACTTTCTCGACACCACAGGGGGTGCGCAGAGGGTGGTCCCTCAGCGCGGCCTCTATCCGTGACACGCTCGCAGATCGTGGCAGGAGTGGCATTTTCTCGACACCACAGGGGGTGCGCAGAGGGTGGTCCCTCAGCGCGGCCTCTATCCGTGACACGCTCGCAGATCGTGGCAGGAGTGGCACTTTCTCGACACCACAGGGGGTGCGCAGAGGGTGGTCCCTCAGCGCGGCCTCTATCCGTGACACGCTCGCAGATCGTGGCAGGAGTGGCACTTTCTCGACACCACAGGGGGTGCGCAGAGGGTGGTCCCTCAGCGCGGCCTCTATCCGTGACACGCTCGCAGATCGTGGCAGGAGTGGCACTTTCTCGACACCACAGGGGGTGCGCAGAGGGTGGTCCCTCAGCGCGGCCTCTATCCGTGACACGCTCGCAGATCGTGGCAGGAGTGGCACTTCTCGACACCACAGGGGGTGCGCAGAGGGTGGTCCCTCAGCGCGGCCTCTATCCGTGACACGCTCGCAGATCGTGGCAGGAGTGGCACGTTCTCGACGCCACAGGGGGTGCGCAGAGGGTGGTCCCTCAGCGCGGCCTCTATCCGTGACACGCTCGCAGATCGTGGCAGGAGTGGCACTTTCTCGACACCACAGGGGGTGCGCAGAGGGTGGTCCCTCAGCGCGGCCTCTATCCGTGACACGCTCGCAGATCGTGGCAGGAGTGGCACTTTCTCGACACCACAGGGGGTGCGCAGAGGGTGGTCCCTCACGCGGCCTCTATCCGTGACGCTCGCAGATCGTGGCAGGAGTGGCACTTTCTCGACACCACAGGAGGTGCGCAGAAGGTGGTCCTCAGCGCGGCCTCTATCCGTGACACGCTCGCAGATCGTGGCAGAGTGGCACTTCTCGACACCACAGGGGGTGCGCAGAGGGTGGTCCCTCAGCGCGGCCTCTATCCGTGACACGCTCGCAGATCGTGGCAGGGAGTGGCATTTTTCTCGACACCACAGGGGGTGCGCAGAGGGTGGTCCCTCAGCGCGGCCTCTATCCGTGACACGCTCGCAGATCGTGGCAGGAGTGGCATCGACGCCACAGGGGGTGCGCAGAGGGTGGTCCCTCAGCGCGGCCTCTATCCGTGACAAGCTCGCCGGAGTGGCATTTTCTCGACACCACAGGGGGTGCGCAGAGGGTGGTCCCTCAGCGCGGCCTCTATCCGTGACACGCTCGCAGATCGTGGCAGGAGTGGCACTTTCTCGACACCACAGGGGGTGCGCAGAGGGTGGTCCCTCAGCGCGGCCTCTATCCGTGACACGCTCGCAGATCGTGGCAGGAGTGGCACTTTCTCGACGCCACAGGGGGTGCGCAGAGGGTGGTCCCTCAGCGCGGCCTCTATCCGTGACACGCTCGCAGATCGTGGCAGGAGTGGCACTTTCTCGACACCACAGGGGGTGCGCAGAGGGTGGTGGTCCCTCAGCGCGGCCTGTATCCGTGACACGCTCGCAGATCGTGGCATGAGTGGCACTTGCTCGACACCACAGGGGGTGCGCAGAGGGTGGTCCCTCAGCGCGGCCTCTATCCGTGACACGCTCGCAGATCTTGGCAGGAGTGGCACTTTCTCGACGCCACAGGGGGTGCGCAGAGGGTGGTCCCTCAGCGCTGCCTCTATCCGTGACAGGCTCGCAGATCGTGGCAGGAGTGGCACTTTCTCGACACCACAGGGGGTGTGCAGAGGGTGGTCCCTCAGCGCGGCCTCGCCTCTATCCGTGACACGCTCGCAGATCGTGGCAGGAGTGGCATTTTCTCGACACCACAGGGGGTGCGCAGAGGGTGGTCCCTCAGCGCGGCCTCTATCCGTGACACGCTCGCAGATCGTGGCAGGAGTGGCACTTTCTCGACACCACAGGGGGTGCGCAGAGGGTGGTCCCTCAGCGCGGCCTCTATCCGTGACACGCTCGCAGATCGTGGCAGGAGTGGCACTTTCTCGACACCACAGGGGGTGCGCAGAGGGTGGTCCCTCAGCGCGGCCTCTATCCGTGACACGCTCGCAGATCGTGGCAGGAGTGGCACTTTCTCGACACCACAGGGGGTGCGCAGAGGGTGGTCCCTCAGCGCGGCCTCTATCCGTGACACGCTCGCAGATCGTGGCAGGAGTGGCACTTTCTCCAGGGGGTGCGCAGAGGGTGGTCCCTCAGCGCGGCCTCTATCCGTGACACGCTCGATCGTGGCAGGAGTGGCACTTTCTCGACACCACAGGGGGTGCGCAGAGGGTGGTCCCTCAGCGCGGCCTGTATCCGTGACACGCTCGCAGATCGTGGCAGGAGTGGCACTTTCTCGACACCACAGGGGGTGCGCAGAGGGTGGTCCCTCAGCGCGGCCTCTATCCGTGACACGCTCGCAGATCGTGGCAGGAGTGGCACTTTCTCGACACCACAGGGGGTGCGCAGAGGGTGGTCCCTCAGCGCGGCCTCTATCCGTGACACGCTCGCAGATCGTGGCAGGAGTGGCACTTTCTCGACACCACAAGGGGTGCGCAGAGGGTGGTCCCTCAGCGCGGCCTCTATCCGTGACACGCTCGCAGATCGTGGCAGGAGTGGCACTTTCTCGACACCACAGGAGGTGCGCAGAGGGTGGTCCCTCAGCGCGGCCGCTATGCACGACGGTCGTCCAGGGCATAGCAGGCGTGGCACTTTCTCGACACCATAGAGGCTGCGCAGGGGGTGGTCCCTCACCGCGGCTGCTATGCACGACGGTCGTCCAGGGCATAGCATGCACGACACCATAGAGGCTGCGCAGGGGGTGGTCTCAGGGCATAGCAGGCGCGGCATTTTCTCGACACCACTGGGGGTGCGCAGGGGGTGGTCCCTCACCGCGGCCGCTGGCTGGCTCGAATCTGTCCTCGACGGAGGATAGAAGGCTAGGAAGAGGGAGGAGGTTCAAGCAATATGGCGTTGCATGACACATAGGTAAACATTCGCGACGAGGGCTGAGAACGCAGAATTGCACATATATTATAAACTTAAGCAAACACTCAATATTTAAGTTAAGTATGTGGGGTTCCTCGGTAGCGTAATTGTCACGTCGGTGTCGATGCTGTTCATGTCGGCGCTGTCTTCGTTGGCTCACTCGTCGCTGCCGGCCCCATGCTTGAGGCCGTCGCTCCAGGCTGGGTGGCGCCGCTCCAGCAGCGGCGCGATGACAGGCTTGTCGAGTATGCCCTTGGCATTGCAGTACGCCCAGTGCAGGGTGGGTGTCCGCCTAGCCCGTGTGCCACCACCGCCTTGTCGCTCTGGCGACCTGACCGAGCCGTCGGCCCAGCCACTCCGCCGCCTCCGCCCACTGCTGCTCCAGCGTGGCCTCCTCGACCTTGGGCGGCCTCAGCGCCTCCCAGTGGTAGGTGGGGATCTGCTGGTGGCCCTTCCTCTCGTAGAGCTCCTCGCCGTCGAAGTTATGGTACTTATTGAGGTAGTCCTCTTATGTCGTCGCCAGCTGGCTCCAGCAGTCGTCCACGCCTGCTTGCTCACATTGTGCAGGCGGAAGCAATCGCGGCCAGGCAGTCGGCCCCGATGCACATCCCGTCGGCAGCTCCAGTGGCCACCGTCGCAGTCGTCGCGGTACTCGTATCCACCTGGGGGGCCACTTCACCTGGCATATGCAGGAGGACGGGCGAGTGGGGAGCGACTTTGTAATTGTCCTGCACCTTCGCAGTGATGCTACTGTCCGCCAGTGTCTCGGAAATGATGGGGCCGTCCCTGTGACGGGCTGCCCCCATCACTGAGCACGAGCCCCTGTGAGCATCGAACGCGATGATCCCTCCCATCCTGTTGAGCAGTCCTGACTCCTGGAGCTCCGTCGGGTCCATGCTGAAGTCCTCCCAAGGCTCCAGTTCCTCCCCGCCGCCTTGGGACGCGGTGGTGAAGTTCATCGGGATGGCATTGTTCCTGTCTGTGATGCCCTCGCTCACCCACGGGATCACCGTGCCGATGGTGATGCCCTGCTTGTCGATGGCGTCTAGCGTGCCTATTGCCAAGAGGCCCTTTGGACTCTGGGGGCGAGATGTCCCAGCCGTCGAGGTTCCTGCCGTAGGTGACCTCCACGGACGGCGCAGTAGCGAGGAGGACCCCCCCGCTCCAGCCGCCCTGCGTCTTGACGCTGGGCACGATGCCTAGTCGCCATTCGCGCTTCTGCATGCGCTGGGTGGAGCAGGAGATAGTGTTCGGGCTAGCCTGCAGCGTCTGCACCATCACCACTGGCGCTCTGCTCATGTATCGTATGTGGTTTAGCACCCTCTCCAGCGTGCCGATGGAGTTCGCATTGACGGTGAAGAACTCCCGCCCGTCTCGCTGACCGTCAGGAAGACGGCGGCGTAATCTAGGTGTATTTGTTGATGTACCCAGGCTCCTGATCAGCAGTCAGAGGAAGGAGAAGAGCCGCATGCCGGTCGATCTCCTCGGCGGTGCAGACCCCTCCTGCATGATCTTGCGGACCTGCTCGCTGGCGCCCTGGTGAAACTCGAACAGCTCCTCCTTGACCCCTGCCTCGTCCCCGCGCTTCGCCCGGTGGGTCTGACGGTTGTTGATCTGCTTGGCTGTCGCCGCCTTGGCCGCCTCAGCGGCTGCCTTCGCCGTCTCCGCTTTAGCTCACGCTCATCGTCCGCTTCCGTCTGGGACTAGGCATGTTGTAGCGCTTCCTGTAGCTAGAGGTCGAGGTCACGATCTCGCAAGCACTTGGCGGCCTGCTCGAGAAAAGCGACCGCCGCCCCCATCCTTGCCCTGGCTTGGGTACGCTGAGCTCGTCGACTGGGGCCGCCTTATCCTTCTCAAGCTGTTCCTGGGCTTCACGCATCTTCCCCTCCTGCTTCTTGACTCGCTCTTTCCGCGGGCGCGCAGGGTCTCGTACGTGTTCCTCTCGCGCACGACCTTGCACTCCGAGAAATAACGTTTTACTTTGCTGTCAGCGTCGACAGTCTCCTGCAATGCATCCTGCTGCTGCAGCACGGTGATGTTGCCCGACACCAGGGGGCCAAGGTCGGGGTCCTCAGCCTGCTCCCGCAACTCCTGGAGGTGACCTTGAGCTTGCTGAGCTTGGCCTCGGCTGCGTCCTCGCTCTCCGTGTTGTCGGTGCCATTGTTGCCGCTGCTATCGTTGGGCTTCGCGATGCCCTTGGTGGCCCAGCACTTCCAGCAATAGTCGTAGGCTGCTCCGTCCTTGGCCTTGCACAACGTGCAACTCCCCCCATCGCGCGATCGGGTTCAGGAGCCCATTCAGGAGCCCATTCAGTGCCACTTCGAAGTTGGCGCTCGCTGACGCCGCGCGCCGCATCTCTGCAGGTCAAAGGCGGGCTCGGCGCGAAATGGCTAGGATGCGAAGGTGCGTGATGATGATGATGATGAGGAGGAGGAGGAGGAGGAGGAGGAGGAGGAGGAGGAGGATAAGGGGGAGGAGGAGGAGGAGGAAGCAGGAGAGAGGAGCGACGTGGAATGCCCCCGTCGTGTGCCATGGCAGGCCAAGCTGCTTCAAGAAGACGAGCAGCGGGAACGAGCGCTTCTGGCTGCACAGGCCGCTGGAGGAGGAGAAGGAGGAGGAGGAGGAGGAGGAGGAGGACTATTAGCAGTAGCAGTAGCAGTAGCAGCAGCAGCAGCAGCAGCAGCAGCAGCAGCAGCAGCAGTAGTAGCAGTAGTAGTAGTAGTAGTCGTAGTAGTAGTAGTAGTAGTAGTAGTAGTAGTAGTAGTAGTAGTAGTAGTAGCCGTAGTAGTTGTAGTAGTAGTCGTCGTAGTAGTAGTATAGTAGTAGTAGTAGTAGTAGTAGTAGTAGTAGTAGTAGTAGTAGTAGTATATAGTAGTAGTAAGATAAAAGTATGCGTAGTAGTAGATAGTAGTAAGAGTAATATAGAAGTAGTAGTAGTAGTAATAGTAGTAGTAGTAGTAGTAGTAGTATGATAGGAGTAGAGTAGGAGTAAGTAGGAGCAGTAAGAAGTAGTAAGTAGTAGTATAAGTAGTAGTAGGAGTAGTTGTAGTATGTAGTAGTGTAGTCGTGTTATAGTCGTAGTCGTAGTAGTAGCAGTAGTAGTAGTAGTAGTAGTAGTAGTAGTAGTAGTAGTAGTAGTAGTAGTAGCTGTAGTAGTCCTACTCGTAGTAGCTCCCCAATCAGAGTTTGCCTCTCTAGGGGTCCTAGCGGATTCATTCCCCAATCAGAGCTTGCCTCTGTAGGGGTCCTAGCGGATTCATATGGTTAGGTTAGCTGCGGCGCCGATTTCGGCGGCACGCCCGGGTGCCTGGGTGCCCGGGTCCCCGGGTGCCCATCGCCCTATAGCCTTCTGCCCTATAGCCCTATAGCCCAATAGTATTTAGCCTTCATTGCCCTATAGCCCTATTCGCCCTATAGCCATATAGCCCTATAGCCCCACAGCCCTATAGCCCTATAGCCCTATAGCCCTATAGCCTTATAGCCCTAATAGCCCTATTGCCCTACAGCCCCATAGCCCTATGGCCCTATAGCCCAATGGCCCTATGGCCCTATAGCCCTATAGCCCAATAGCCCAATCGCCCTATAGCCATATAGTCCCATAGTCCTTATTGCCCTATAGCCCTATAGACCGATAGCCCTATAGCTCAATGTGCCTATAGCCCCATCGCCCTATAACCCTACAGACCTATAGTCCTATGGTCCTATGGCCCTTGAGCCCCGTAGCCCTATAGCCCTAAGAAGACTCGGATTGGGTTTTTCCTCCAGTATCATGACATGGTTCGGTGAGGTGCGGCGCCGAATCCGGCGGCACGCCCGGGTGCGCGGGTGCCCGGGTGCCCGGGTGCCTGGGTGCCCGGGTGCCCGGGTGCCCAGGTGCCCAGGTGCCCGGGTGCCCAGCTGCCCGGGTGCCCAGGTGCCCGATAGCCTTAAAGCCTTATATCCATATAGCCCTATAGCCCCATACCCCTATAGCCTTAGAGCCCTACAGGCCTACTAGCCCTATAGACCCATAGCCCTATAGCCCTATAGCCCTGTAGCCCTATAGCACTATAGCCCTATAGCAATATTGCCCTATAGCCCCATAGCCCTTTAGCCCTACAGCCTTATAGCCCTCTAGCCTTATAGACCTAATAGCCCTATAGTCTTATAGCCCTATCGCCCCCATTGCCCTATAGCCCTATAGCCCTATAGCCCTATAACCCTATAGCCTTATAGCCTTATAGCCCTATAGCCCTATAGCTCTATAGCCCCTCAACCCTGTAGTCCAATAGCCCCATTGCCTTATAGCCTTAAAGTCGTTATGATTTGTGCTTTCCCCAGTATCATTGTAGTCGTAGCCGTAGTCGTAGTCGTTGTAGTAGTCGTAGTCGTAGTCGTCGTAGTAGTTGTAGTCGTTGTCGTAGTAGTAGTCGTAGTCCATGTAGCAGTGGTCGTAGTAGTAATAGTAGTAGAAGTAGTCGTAGTAGTCGTAGTCGTAGTCGTAGTAGTAGTACTAGTACTAGTAGTAGTAGTAGTAGTAGTAGTAGTAGTAGTAGTAGTAGTAGTAGTAGTAGTAGTAGTAGTAGTAGTGGTCGCGGTGGTAGTAATAGTAGTAGTAGTGATAGCAGTATGGGTAGTAGGCGTATTAGTAGTATTAGTAGTAGTAGTAGTAGTAGTAGTAGTAGTAGTAGTTGTTGTTGTAGTAGTCGTAGTCGTAGTCGTAGTTGTTAGTCGTAGTAGTCGTAGTAGTGGTCGTAGTAGTAGCCGTAGTAGTAGTAGTAGTAGTCGTAGTAGTAGTAGTAGTAGTCGTAGTAGTAGTAATAGTAGAGATGATAGTAGCTGTAGCAGTAGTAGTAGCAGTAGTAGTAGTAGTAGTAGTAGTCGTAGTACTAGTCGTAGTAGTAGTAGTAGTAGTAGTGGCCGTCGTCGTCGTCGTCGTCGTCGTCGTCGTCGTAGAAGTAGTAGTAGTATTAGTAGTAGTAGTAGTAGTAGTACTAGTAGGAGTAGGAGTAGGAGTAGGAGTAGTGGTAGTAGTAGTAGTAGTAGTAGTCGTCGTCGTCGTAGTAGTAGTAGTAGTAGTAGTAGTAGTAGTAGTAGTAGTAGTAGTAGTAGTAGTAGTATTTGTAGTCGTAGTAGTAGTAGTAGTCGTAGTAGTCGTAGTAGTCGTAGTAGTCGTAGTAGTCGTAGTAGTAGTAGTAGTAGTAGTAGTAGTAGTAGTAGTAGTAGTAGTTGTAAGTAGTACTCGTTCGTAGTAGTAGTAGTAGTATACAGCAGCAGTAGCAGTAGTGGTCGTAGTAGTGTCGTAAGTACTACTAGTAGTAGTAGTAGTAGTAGTAGTAGTAGTAGTAGTAGTAGTAGTAGTAGTAGTAGTAGTAGTAGTAGTAGTAGTAGTAGTAGTAGTAGTAATAGTAGTAGTAGTAGTAGAAGTAGTAGTAGTAGTAGTAGTAGTAGTAGTAGTATAGTGGTTCATTATGTTTAGAAGGAGTAGTAGGAGTAAAACGAATAGCCATATCAGTTGTAGTCGTAGCCGTAGTCGTCGTAGTAGGAGCAGTAGTCGTAACAGTAGTAACCGTATTATTCCCCACATCCAAAGTGGGGTTCTTGTTTTCTCTGGACACCCCGCGCAGGAACAGGAACACACACACACACACACACTCACACTCACTTACACTCTCTCATCATCAACCTCATCAGCATCATCGATGATGCTCTCTCACATGCTTAGTCACTCACATACTCATCATCATCATCATCACTCGCACTCTCTCACACGCTCATGAACATCATCATCATCATCGGCATCGGCATCATCCTCATTCAAACATCATCATCGCCACCACCACTCACAATCAATCATCATCCTCTTCACCACTCATCTTCACCACCACTCATCATCCTCATCCTCATCATCGTTGAGTAAATTGTGAGGAAGTCTCAGGCGGGAGCCCCCTCCCTATGGGGCCCGCAGATCATGTTGGTAATCCGAGCGGGTCATCGGAATCTTGTAACTGTCGTCACTTTTGGGCTCCCCAGGCCTGAAAATGGAGGAAGTCTCAGGCGGGAGCCTCGTCTGTGAGTGAATTGGGAGGAAGTCTCAGGCGGGAGCCCCTCCCTATGGGGCCCGCAGATCATGTTGGTAATCCGAGCGGGTCATCGGAATCCTGTAACTGTCGTCACTTTTGGGCTCCTCAAGCCTGAATTTGGAGGAAGTCTCAGGCGGGAGCCTCGTCTGTGAGTGAATTGTGAGGAAGTCTCAGGCGGGAGCCCCCTCCCTATGGGGCCCGCAGATCATGTTGGTAATCCGAGCGGGTCATCGGAAACCTGTAACTGTCGTCACTTTTGG